GTTCAATCTCCCAGCACCACATGCCAGCCAGCCCCACCCCCTGGTGGGCTGAGTTGGCCACACACACACACACACACACACACACATAAATAAAAAAAATGATCTGTCAATTAAAAAAATCTAATTGAATATTTGTTTTAAGTCAACTTCGTACCATTGGTTAAAATACCTGGCAATGCTAAGTAAGAGAATAAAGAGAAGCTTATTTTGACCTGTGATTCTGGAGGTTAAATCAGTTGCATCTCTCAAGAGATAGTCTAGGTATTTTTACTGATTTACTGCATTCTCCTTGCTACAAACAGGCAGTTAATTGTGACTATTCTGGGACCACCTTAATGTATTTTGGAAAATAATGAAACCTAGTTCTGCCCAGAAGATTCATATGTAATTAATTGGTTTGTGTGGCCACTTAGACATCAAGATTTTTGTAATTTCTAATATTGTCATAAGAACAACATACATTTTATTATTAGTGACATTTGGTTCACTCATGGTATCATGCAGAAACCATCTCTACCTAGTCTGAGAACATTTTTATTCACTCTAGAAAATTCTGTATCTGTCCATCCATCACTCAGTCAATACCTATTTCCTTCCTTGCAAGTGTATAGAAACAACTGTGTTTTGTGTGTTCATCTTGTGTCTTACAGCTTTTCTAAAACCACTTATCACTTATTAGCTCAGCTTGTGTGTGTGTGTGTGTGTGTGTGTGTGTGAGAGAGAGAGAGATCCTTAAGATTTTTATGTATTAGATCATGTCATCTGTGAATGGAGGTGGTTTGACTTCTTTTCCCTTTGAATCCCTTGTATTTCTTTTTCCTGCCTTCCTAATTGTTCTGCCCAGACCTTCTAGCACAGTACTGAATAGCAATGGATTAAAGTGAACATCATTAACCTGTGCCTGAGCTTGGTGGACATTTTCAGCCTACCACCATCAAGTATAATGTTAGGTGTGGGGATTTCATAAATGCCCTTGTGCATTGAGGAAGTCCCCTTCTATTTCTAGTTTACTGAGTTCTTTGATCCTAGGGGATGTTGGATTGTGTGAAAGGACTTCTTTGTATCAAATGAGGTTATTGGGATTTTCATCATGCTATTAATAGGTTATGTTATTGGTTTTCGTATTTTTCACCACGCTTGCATTGCTGGAATAAATTCTGCTTAGTCATGACATATAATCCTTTTGAGTTCAGTTTGCTAGTATATCATTGAGGACTTCTGTTGTTGAGGACTCTACCCTAGGAAATATCAGCCCATTACATACGAGACCGGGTGCGTTCAGAGTGCTATGGCCATAGACTATCAGCCTATTACACTGTGTTTTCTTTGTATGGCTGTAGAATCAGGATAAGGCTGGCTTTGTGGGATGAGTTAATAATCTCTTCCTCCTCTTCTGTGTTTTGGGGAGATTGAGAAGGTTGGATATTATTTCTTTTTTTTTTTTTTTTTTGATGCTTCTTAAAATAGATATTTTATTTCCTTTAACGTGAATGTTTTTATTATGTTGAAAATTCCATCAAATATAACCACTTAGGATTGTTTTAATGACATCCCTGGTCACTTCTCCTAGACAAGCTCACAGACATTACTCTGAAGGCTCCAAATGGTTACCCCAAGTCTAAGCCCTGTCTAAGGGATCAGCACATCTCCAGAGCCCACGGTGTTGTGCACGAGCTGGGCAGGATCTGAGTACTATCCGCGTCAGCGTGCCCGCGGCCCTGGCCACAAAGTGACAACACGAACGAGCAGGTCAATTTCCATAATGTTAACAACTACAAAGTGCCCTAAGATGAGAGTTGCATGGGGTTGGGAAAGCAGCCACCAGAGTAACCCCGTGCTGTCACCCAATGCGTTTAAGCTGAAGCTGACAGGACTCCTGCTGCCCAACACCTGAGGGAGGAGTGGTTAGTATTAACACAAACAAGATGCAACCCCAGTTCAAGGGAAGGGCGCTCCCTCCCAGGAAGAGTGCGCTCCAATGCAGTGGGTCCAGGAGCCCTGCACCAACAGAACACGCACCTTCACGTGAGGGGGCGGGGAGAGGATCTATGCGACACAACAGTCATGGATTCAATCAAGGGTCCCTGCAACCAGACACTCATTCCGCTCTTTATTACTGCGCTGCGTCAGTCGGCACCTGCCTCCATCACAAGTCCTAGCGCAGTCTCAAGGGATGAGGGACGCAGCCGCGCTCCACAGCCACGACTGTGGTTATTGTCTGCTCTTCAGCGTCTCCACTAACCACTCCATGGCTTCGTCCAGGCCAGTGCCTTTGGTGGCCGACGTCTTGAATATCTGCCATTTGCGGTCCTTGAGGGCGGGCAGGCCGAGGGCATTGGCCATCTCCGAGGGGGTCATGGCCTGCTCCATGTCCTGCTTGTTGGCAAACACTACCAGGATGGCCTTCCTCAGCTCCTCCTCCTCCAGCATGGCCACCAGCTCGGACTTGGAGATGCCAATGCGGTCCCGGTCACAGCTGTCCACCACATAGATGACCGCATCTGTGTTCGAGTAGTAACATCTCCAGTACGGCCTGATACTCGTCTGACCCCCCAAATCCCACACTTGAAATTTCAGGTTTTTGTACGTCACGGTCTCCACATTAAAGCCGATGGTAGGAATAGTCGTAACAACTTCTCCGACCTGCAATCTGTACAAAATCGTGGTCTTTCCTGCACCATCCAATCCCAAAATTAAAATCCTCATTTCCCGGGTTCCAAAGAGGCTGGAAAAAATACTTGAGAAAAAGCCACCCATGATGAGCGCCGCTCCGCCCGCGCCTCACTTGGCAGCGACTCCTCCGTGACCTCGGCGCCGCCACCTCCGCTCGCCCTGGCTCTGGCCGCGGGCCCAGCGGTCCCCGTGGGCGAGGTCAGCCGCCACAACTTCCACGTCCTGGATATTATTTCTTTAAAGAGAAATTCAGTGGAGTTCACCAGAGAGGCTATCTAGGTCTGGGCTTTTGTTGTTGCTGTTGTGAGGTTTGTGATTCCTGATTTGGTCTCTTATGGATGTCCTAAGATACTGTTTTTCAGTCCATTTTTGTGATGTGTGAAGATTTCCAGTTATCTATTTTATTTAGTTTGTCTAATGTGAAAGAAGTAATCTTGGATCTTTCAACCCCTGTAAGCCCAGCTAAAACCACACTAAGCACCTCTGTTGAGATGCTCTGTGAATATTACTGAGCTCTGCAGTTACAAATATAATAATGACTATTGCTTTAAAACACTGAGTTTTAAGGGCCAGCCAGATAGTTACATGGACTAAAAGTGCCTGTTTAGGCAAAGTGCAGTGGCTGGGGTTCAATTCCCAGTATGTTGTGCCGGCCCCGCCTCTGGGGCTCACTGAGACAGAGATTGAGACTGGGCATGGTGGTGTGCACTTGTAATCCCAGTGCTTGGAAGGCTGAAAATGGGAGGATCACAATGAGTCCGATCTGTGTAGCGAGACCCTGTAGACCCTGAAGACCCAGTACCAAGTATATATAAAAAGGAACAAAAGACGGAAAACAAAACAAAACAAAAATCCCACTGAGTTTTGTGGGCACTTTGTTATGCAGAAAAAAAAAGCAAAAGAATAACAGTTATGTACAAAAGGTACCTGGAATCCTTGATGATTCCAAAAATGAAAGGAGTTTGTAAAATCTGTGGTGAAACCAGAACCTTTCACCACTTTGGAGGAGGGCTATATTACAATAGTCAGCTGAAGATGGATTGGTAGAGGTGCGTCTGTACAAAAATTTCCAGTCACTTTTGCTTGCACAGAATCATCCAGATCTTCCCAAGACTGAATGGGCAGTCCCGTGGCTTTCTTCCTTTTCCACATTCCCAACAAGGCTACATGAAGTTCAACTCTTGATGAGCCCCTTACAGCAGCAGTTCCTTCAGAGCCAACATGACAGGTGGTTCAAATTCTTTATAAGAAATAAAACTAGCCACCTACAGCAAATATCAGAATGGTCAAGTCCTTTGTCCTCCTCCTGATTATATACAGTGTTTCCCTTCAAGACAATTGTCCCAATCATACTTGTCCCTCCAGAAGTCCAAACCTTGAGGTAATATAAAGGAGACCAACATCAAGAAAAACTCAGAAATGAAGAAAACTGGAAGGTATACAATGCATCCCCAGAACATCTTAAAATCTCAGCTATGGTACAATTCAGAGTACGGCTATGGTCCTTAGAGAAATAATTGCAGCTTTAATGAATTTCTTTCTTACCCTTTTTTTTTCTTCTTCCTGTTAAGGTGGTTAAAGGGCACAAATAAATACTGGGCAAGAATAACCTGCTGGGAAATTTAAAAGCTGGCCACTTTATGTGATAATTCAACGCCATGGAGAATATTATTTCTTTTGCAATGCTATATAATGTAATGGCATATTTAGAGTATACCTACAAATGATGAATTAAAATCCATGAAATATTATTTCAGTTTCTCTAGAAGTCAAACTAAGGAGCAGAAAGAACATACAGGAGTGGAAAACAGAAACTTTTATACTTTAGGTCTCTAACAGGAAAAGTGTACCATGTAGGATTTCACATGGATTATGTAAGCAAAGAAACATGAGAATAAGTTAAAAAAAAACTGGAAATTAACAAAATAGCTGTAATAGAAGTGGACAGTTCCTTTATGGGGTGATCAGTAGATTGGTCCCTGCCTTGGAACAAAGATCCACAGCCTTGCAGAAATGTCTGTACAAATTCCAGAACTGAAATGCAACGAGAAAAAAGCATGAAAAGGCGTGAATGCAGTATTCAGTGCTGTGAGGCAACTACAGATGCAGCATGTGTGTAATGGGGATACCTGGTGGAGGAGGAAAAAAAAGGAACAGAAGAAATAGTAGAAAATGACGAGAATTTTCTAGCGAGAGGTAGACATCCAATCAGAGATGCTGGAAGTTTAGAGAACATTGTGATGAATAAATTAAGTACACCAAGTCACAATCAAATTCAAGCTATAGAAAAATCAAATGAAATCTTGAAAGAAGCTGTTGCTGTTGTGTGTGGTTCTGTCTTATCACTGTTATTTTCTATAGAAGAGTAATGATAAAAGTTACATTTTCCTCAGAAACCCATAAGCAAGAGAGTTGAAAGAAATATTTAAATTGTTGAAAGAAAAATAAACAACTAAGAATTCTATGTCTAGTGGAATTATCTTTCAAAAGTAAAGAATTTAAATAGACTTTGTCAAACACAAAAATGGAAGGGCTTGTTATGTGGTAGGCTCATCTTGGTTGTATCAGTTAAAATAAATTTTAATTTGAACATTCTTCAGATAGAAGATGAAACAGGTTAGGAAATCAGGTCTACATAAAAAATCCAAGGATTTTAGACAAAGAGCAAGTCAAGGCAGTACAAAGTATTTCCTGTTTCTTGTTCTTAATTGACCTAGCAGATAGCTGCTCTAACAGATGTCTGTTCTAAGTAATAGCAACAATTATTAATTATTGGATGATTCTAGTTTATAGATGAATGACAACGTTGCAAATATGAGAAGGAGAAAGTGAGAATACGCTATTGTAAAATACTTTGCTATTCATGAAATGGCAGTGTTATTTGAGAAGGGTTTTTTTTTTTTTTTTTT